GTTTTTTAAGCTAGCAATTTTTTATTAGATACATATGTATCATAAGTCAAGTGATCAAAATCATTAAAAATCCCGATAGAACTTTTAATGCATTTTCGAAAGGTTTATTCTTTTAGTAGAATTTCTCATTAGAACCACTGGAATATCAGGAAAAGTATGGAAGTTCAGTGGGATTCCAGTCTCCAGTCAACAACACTGAGCGACAGTGAAATTGACTTTAATAAGGAGGCGAAAAGAATCGCAGATTTGGATATGCCGCAAGCAATAGTAACTAAACTCATTAATAACGTGGTACCTTTTTTTTTTTATAGATAACCTTTTCTTTTTTGTGTGATGCTTTCTTGGTTTCTATAGCGTGTCTTTGTTATTTATATCCTCTGCAAAAGAAACATGCGTGCAAATACGTGACTAATAAATTTTCTTTTTTTTTTGTTAGTTATGTGGTGATTCAATAGAGGAAGAAGCAAAATTAGCCGTAATAAGATCCACCACTCAATTTATCAGTTATCTCACCTCATCGTATGCTGATCACTTTTACGCGGTTGAGCGAATTGATCAGTTTATCTTTAACTTACTATTCATAATACTTCCTATAATAGAGCGAATAAGATTGCGAAAAATAAAAACCATAAAAATATACAACCTGATGACGTATTTAGAGCCATAGAAGAATGTGAATTTGATGAGTTTTTACCAAAGTTAAAAGATGAATTAAATGGTTTGTTTATTTTCTGAATGTCATTTATTGATTATGAATTATAATTAATCAATTATGTACAGCATACGTGGAAATCAAAAGGTCTGCCAAAGCAAAACAGAATGAAGAGGAAAACGTTACTGGTGGACCACCTTCATCATCTATAGTAACGGATTTACCCTCTGATAGCGGAGTAAAAGTAGAGATTACAATACCGAACGGAGACCATATATAGTTAAAAGTGCAATGTTTGTCGTCAACGCTGATTAATCCCGTGTAGCCCCAGACATTTTTGCAAATACATAAATACAGTAAATACAGTATACTGTGAACCTACTCTAAATACATTTTTCACGCATATCCTCTCTAATATGCATGTTGTAGTCTAGTTCTGACTTGGGTTGGGTTACGAGTTTTTTTGGTAAGATTTTTTTAATAGTTGGGTTGGGTTGGTTTGAAATTTGTTTCAACTCAAACCAGCTTGAGTATTAAGTTCTAATAATACCCTAATTTGGTCTTCAGTTTAGCAAACTGGTTAGAATATTATATTTAATACATTTATAACTCACTTCAATCTGATATTCCAATTAATTTTTGGGCGTATCTTTGAGCCAAAAGACGACTTTTTACAGAGCGATTCCGATCTAGTACTTGGGTTGTTGTATTCATAGAAAAATTATCATGCGAACATTCTTTTATAAATTGTGTAAAGCCTTAGGATAATTAGTACTGCGGGATTCCGATAGATTCCGATCTAAAATCTTAGATCATCGTGATTCCGATCTGGTGATATGATTCACATAAAGTTGCAAAACTTGTTAAATAAAATAATGGTGAAAGTTACTTCAAAAACCATAATTCAACCATTAGTAGCATTTTCAATGGCAATAATACTTGGCATATATGTTAGACATGCAATTAATGATTCTAAAAGAGGAACACGTATGAGACAAGAGAGAAAAGAGAGAAGCAAACTGGTATCAGAGAAACAAAGGGAACTAAAATTGAACGAAGAAAAATAAAGTAATTTTCATTCCGTGAATAACCGTATGCATATATTTTAATTTATATTCCTTATCGTTACGTATTGTATGATCCTAAACATAATTAAACAATAATTTATTTATTTTGATTCCCGAAAATATCATTAATAAATTCAAGTATTTTGCCGGCATCTTTCCAGTAAATAACTCGCGGACTGATTCGTCTGTCCATATTTTTATACTTATGCGAAGACGGTAAAGTATCATTTAAAAAATTTGCAAGCTTGAACCCTTCGCGAGCCAAGATGATATCATTACTGGTATACATAAATAAAATCAAATTGAAAAGTTGTAAAAATTATACTATATATAGGATGGAATGTAAGCATACCTAGACATTTTGGTTGCAGGACAGTAATCATTAAAAGAATCTCCAACATAAATAATTTGATCATATTCATTCGGATGTGCTGATAAAAACTTAATAAGTTCATGACCTTTACAAATATTTTCTGAACATGGATTTTCACATCCATGAGGAATATTATTTAATCTTCGAATATGTAATCTACCATCTTCGTCCCATGTAGCAGGATTACTGATAACGTTAGATATTAGATCGTTGACCTCATATGCCTAAAATTTGTATAATATCGATTTACTCGCGTTATATCTAAATTTGTAAACTATCCCACAAACCTTTAATGTCTCCTCAATATACACCGTGTTAGCATCTGAAAGAATTATTATATCACCATTAGCGTTCTTAATCATTCTAAGCGCTTCAATCATTTCCGGCTTCTTTAAAAAATTAGTAAATTAAATAATAAGCACGGAAATATTAAATGTCTGCCATTAGTAATACTTACGAACGGAATTGCTGCAAATGCTTGTATAAATTGTTGTTTAGTTATGCCTTGCCTATATACTTCACCAACTAAATAATCCCTGCGAATTTGAAATTTTATTATTGTATTTAAATAAAAATTTTTACGATTCCAGTTAATTAAAGAGAGTATTAATACATTAAATCAGTCCATTGATATTTTCCTCTTAATTTATCTATCTGTTCTGCGATTGTTGGTGACAATTGTTCAATTATCCAAACATCCGAGTTTTGGTCTATTAAAGACCTTTAATAATTAAAAACTAATAGATTAGTCTCAATCTCTGGATTTGATTGTGAAAATGATTCTTTACCAATCAAAATCAAATACGACGAGACGCTTCATAATGTTTAACATAAAGATACATAGCAACTATTGCTATTACTTGCTGTCGTTTAATTAGTTCTGCCGATCAAGTCACGAGAAATATGCTAAGGGGACTCGGATAAAAAAATGCAAATTTTGAGAGTTGGGTATTATGGCATATCTAGAATAATGATAATATCTATTTCTAAAATCTATTAAACTAACTTTACAATTTGCTACGTACGTAACGGTAACTATTATTCTAAATGAAAACAGTACTTCGTTACGTAGTTTTTTTCAAGGATTTGATAGCTTTTACTATATACAGTATATATGTATATTGAAATGTAACAGTTTATTTAAATTAGCCAATCGGGATTTTTAATGATTTTGATCACTTGACTTATGATACATATGTATCTAATAAAAAATTGCTAGCTTAAAAAAC